TTTGTTCCCAACGACATCATCTGCATAGCCAAATATGGAGGGGAGTAAATGTAAACAGTGTGCTTCACCATTTTCTTCAGTAATATGGTAACTTCCCAGGGAGACTTTTAGTTAGGCTATAACTCCATATTAAACAAAAATAATTACCTCACACAGGCACAAGCAAAAATTGTCACAAGAACATTCAAAGTTTATTCACGTCTAATAATGGCACAAGAATGAGGGTTAAGAGGTAGGTCATTGGCAGCAGGATCAGCCTTTAAAAATAGTAAATCTGGACTCGTCCAGCTTCTTTCTCTCTATGTTTACTCCAGGACCGATAATAAAGAGGAAATAGGCCACGAAAGCAAGATCCTTTAAAGCATTCCACTTATTCTGAAAGTGGCAGGGTTAAAGACTTGAATGAGCCTGGTTCTACAAATCTAGCAAGTTTTGGAAGGTCTAAATCTATACTCTTGCAGCCACCAGGCAGAAAATGTGCGGAGTTTGACCCTCTCTGTAAAGATTCCTATTTTAGACAAGAACAGAAACATCAAGTGATTTGCTTAATTAGCCAGTGAAGTCACACTCACAAAGAGTAATCCTAATAAGTTTACACAATTAATCTACAGTGTGAGAGTTATTTGTTGGAGAAATCATCAAATTTTTATTAGTGAATAAATTAAGGTTGTTGAATTTCAGAAAATTTTCAGGTGGTGAAGGGGAAATACATTTTTTGAACACATTATTAATCACTGCCTAGCTAGAGAGCATGATGTTAGTTCTTGGATATGATACTTAGCACCCTAACATTAAGATAAGCTGCTGAAATGTTCTGATGGGATTTCAGTGTAGTTCTTTGTCCCCTGGAAAAAAGCAACAAAACAAAAACAAAAAACCCACAATCTTGTTATTCAATCTGCAGACATCTTTTTTTTTTTTTTTCTGGAGGAGCATTAAGAACTTGAGAGACACTGTTTTTCATACTACCTGGTTTCCAGGTAAAAGGTAATTTTTAATTTCCTTGTTCAAAGGCTAAATTGCTTCTCACACTTCTACCCGAGAACTAAATCATTCAATCCTTGTTTTTTTCCGTTTTTTCCATAATACCCTCTTAATTCTATTCCAAATATCTCTATTTCTATGAGGATAAACTGTTATTATTAGTTAGACTACTCCTACAGTGTAGCATTAAAATCATCTCTGCTGAAGTTTTATATCACAAAGGAATTAATTGAACACTGCATGACTGGTCTACATGGACTGGAAGTTATCCACGACTGTCAGCACTGGGGAAATCATAAGCATTGCAGGTGGGTTTTATCTAGTGTTTGTTTCCTGAAAAAAACAATAGAAGCAATGATTTCAAGTATCTCTCTTAAGTGACTTTAAATATAAACATATATTTTTAGTTTTCTTAGTAGTCATATACCAATGAACAGGTAGCATTCATTGACAAGTTAATAAGCAGAAAATATGTTCTTCTCTGACGTTGGTATGGAATTGGACACTAAGTTAAGAGAGGAAGAGCACTCTTTATCCTTCACCTATTATGTAGCAGCTAACCAGTCTTTATACTGACTTCCCAGTTTGAATCTCAGTCTGGTGTAATACTACATCAATACTGGAAATTGTTGCAGGGATGTATGGAAAATGAGATTATATTCCCTCCTGTAGATTAGAAGGGAAAAACATAAATACAAACCAGAAAGAAGGGAAGAGAAAAAGGACAGGGTAGAAAGGTATAAGGTGTCATTTCCCTAGCACCAGAGCTGTAGGGTGAATGGTTTTGGAAGCAGACAGAACACTTTCTGTTGTGGTGTACAGGTAGAGTGTTAGGAGGAACTGAAAATATTTTCAAAGATGAGACACCTAGGGGAAAGCAATCTTTCTATTTCTCAAGTGAGGATTTTATTTCATGAGAGTTACATTTACCTCAAAAGTCAAACTGTTCTGTGCATCATTTGATGAACTAGAATGTTCATTGCCGTTTCAGTGATAGAAATGTTTTCAGTTCCTGGAAATTCTAAAGACAGTTTTGCATACTGCTGGTATTAGCATTGAGGTCTGGAGATAAAACAGATGCAGGATTTGTAAGGGTAGGCAATACATCTTAGATAGTGAGTATAGGTGAAAAAGCAGGTAAATTCTCAAATGCTCTAACCTTTCTCCAGATCTGTTGGGATATTCTCCTTACAAATGTGCTTTGATGAATGCTTAACAACTAGATGCTTTTTAGAAATGCTGTTTTCTAGAGCATAAATGAAAGCAGACAGGGAGGTCATTATGTTGAATTTGTACCAGTGAAAGGTCCTCTCATCCACAAAATTTTCCTGAAGCAGAAAAGGTTACTTGTATACAGAAATAGAATGAGAGATAGGATAGAAAGATAAATCTTTTTTCAAACTGAAAGAATGTTATGAAGTTCAAAGCCTACTTTCTTCTGCTCATGTCTATCTTTTTCATGTTTTCTGAGTTCTGGTTCTCCAGCTGAGTTCTGGTATATGCTTTCTACTGTTAAAATTTTTCTTTCTGCTTAAACTATTTTTTTCACGTTTTTCCCAACAGGTGATTTGTTTTCAAATGTGTTTACATAATAAAAGCCAAATTTTTAGTAGTAAAGTTATGAAATATCTTTGGTTAATTAGCAGCCATCACTAATGCACAAAACAATTAGATTTGTGACTGCAGGACTTTGCTTGACTAGTCCAAGCTATCTTAAAGCCCTTAAAGATTGTATGATTTATAGGGTCACAAAGACAAATGTGGACATATTTAATCAGTTCTCAGTTGCAATAAGTACTTTATAAGACAACATAATAAAATAATCAGTTATTGAATAAAAATGCCTAAGCGGGCTGTTAATAAAAGTGTGTGTGCAAACTGTTTAGGATGCCCCAAAGATCTGCCATTCTTGAGGTAGAATTAAAACATTCCAACAGAGTGATTAAGAGGCACTTTCAAGTGTTTCTTTTTGTTGTGGTATTTGTGGCTGGTTTTTGTTGGATTTCTTTCAAACTCTGAAGAGATTAAAGATACCACAGGGAAGTTTTTATTCAATTTCATAACTAACACAAGACACCAAAGATGAGTTTCTCATTTTCCAGTGCTCATTTTAAAATAACTTGACTGTCATGTTTACTATTATAGAAATTCAGCAGGTATTGGGGCACTGATCTAACTCTGTACCTTTCAAAAGCTTTCATTATTATCTTCCTATTTCTCCAAATATCATTAAATATTCCAGAGGCTGGAAAAGGAGTAAAGATAATGAATTAATAATAAAGTTTAATTTTCTTCCTTTTACATCAGTAAGAGTTTCAGTTAACATCTGGTGAATTGTGAAACAAATAGATTTAAGTACTGTTTCAAAAATTCAATAATTGACAGTGCCACTCTGAATTCAACTGGCAAACCACAAATTCTGGAAAGGCTTTTCCAACAAAACCGTCGCCCGCACTGCTGATAGTCTCATTTAATATGTAGTTCACAAAATGTATGTTTATAACTGAATTCCAGAGTTTTTATTTCACTTTTACCACAGATCTCTCATGGTAATTACCTTAAAAATTGGCAGAGCATTGTTTTAAATAGACTATTCCAAAGTATGAGATTGTAATTACTTTTTGACTACCAACAGGAAAGAAAAGTAAAGAACCGTATTTTTTAGTTTCTGAATTTGATAGATTTATGTTAGAACAGAAAATTAAGGATTATTTCATGATGAAATTAAAATGCTTGGGAAGAAAAAAAAAGGAAAATATAAGAAAACAGTAGAAGTCTAAGACAATTAGATCAGACTAGAGAACTCAGAATTCTTTCTTAACTTCAACAGCAATTCTCAGAAATTTAAAATTTTCTGGGTTTTAGAGAATATATCCATTGAATTTTTACCCTCTTAGAATAAATTTAAGAAAAAAATTCTGAAATAAAAAGTCATTTCAAAACATGAAAGATATCAAAATATTCATTTAGAAACTACCAACATGTTTTTACTCTTTTTATTTTATTTCTTTTGGAAGTCTGTGCACAAAATTGGTACCTGACACTAGTTCACAGACTAGTGAAAAGTCACTGGACATTGTTGCTGCTGAAAATCTGTCTCCCCTAGGAAGTAATCTTGATAAAAATTGTTTTCATCAGTTCTAGTTAGTTTGTGAGGCACCTGGCATATTCAGAATATTTAAACACACCCCAAAAAGCCTTTCATACTGAATTAATTTCACAGACTAAACGTATCATAGACCCTTTGTTCCTTAGTTCTTGGTAAATAGGCAGGGACAACTTCAATCATTAAGGAATTTCTCTGGAAAAAAATGAAACAGAAAATGGACTCAACATTACTACAAATTCTGTTATAATTTATCTGCTGCACACAAACACGCAAGAGATCCTACTGGCAAGCTGAAACATTTTTTAAGAGCTAATGCACCAGAGAATATAAAAACACCACTAAGCTTTTTAAAGCTTACTTGCTACCCATTTCAGTAATGTCATTATGTACCAGACTCGGTGAAATCTTGAACACATCAACCTACATGAAGCCAGAATCTGTATTCTCCTGCTGCCTCTAGCTTGACCCAAATAGTTTGAAAATCTTGGTCAAAACTGGTCCCTTGACATTTTGTAATCAAAATCTGCCACCAACATCACTATATGTGTATTCAGGAAGGTTGTTTGTTTTAAAAGACTCCAAACTGCCATGATAAGCAGTTATCCTGTCATTTTTTTCCCCTTCAGGAAGACCAAAGACAGAAGACATTACAGCAGATGTACTGTCCACTTGACAGAACACAAATAACTTACTAATTTCTAGGCCTAGGTCTTGTTTAGATGCAATACAGCTCTATGAATCCTTAACCTTTCCACCCTTTGAAAATTATTTGCATACCTGAAAGAAAAATTCATCTGGTCATCCGGTCTAAAATAGAAGAAAAGCGAGATGACATTTATAAAAAGACGAACTGCAAGCTCCAGGTAATCAGAAGGCTAACCCATGGACTTTTAAGCAGGAAAGGAAGTTTATTCGTGGACACTCAGGGCTACATGAGCTCACAACAGGGTGGCAAAAGCACCTCCTAGGGCCTCTTGGCCGTACATTCTGAGCCGTTCCCTTTTCCTCCTCCGTTTCCCTTCCCCAAGTTATGGGAAAGGAATGCTTCTTTTTGCCAGTTTGGTCTAGCCAGGAGGCAGTTCTAAGGGAAAGACAAAAGGTGGTTGTTCTCATGCATTCTCTCAACAGGTGTTTCTTTAGCCACAGTTGGCTTCTTGAGCGAAGAGAAATTTCTAAACCAGTTTATCTCTTCGCCCATTTCTTGCTTGGGGAACCCTCCAACCCCCACATAAACAAAAGAAACAACAGTCCAGAATAAGAATTTGTGATGAACAAGATCCCATTTTCTAGAAGTATTAATGAAAAAGTGTAGTTAAAAATATAGTTTAATTATTTGGAATATTTGCAAGACTATATGCAAACACACCATGTAAACACTATTTTCCTTTTACTACTACTTCTTAATTAAGTTCATTGATAATTACGTCCTACATTTTCTTTTTATGTCCCATCTTTCTCATTAAACTTCCCATGACTTACATTATAGGACTTGTAATTTACCAGAAGGCTGCAACAGAGACACTGACGTTACAGGTCTTAGGATATACATTTTTAGGATATACATTTTCAGTATTACGGAACACCGACAGAAAATGTTAATAATAGCCAATAAATCATTATTTGATCTCCCACAAAAACTGCGAATCTGCTTAAATCCAGTTCAAGGTTGAAATACCAGTAATTCTTTACCAGTTAAAGTCAGTGCATAGGAATGAAAACATAATTACATATTTCCTCCCCTCCATGTCTCTCTAATACAACTGCAGACTTGCTTGAAGTTACAGGCTCAATATGCATAAAGATTGGAGAAAATACTTTTTTAAATGAAGCTAATATATTTAGACAGATATTGTAAAAGTACCTGTCTAAATATAATGTTGCCTAAGCTTAGGAGGTATTAATACTTCAATCTAGATAATTAATGTTTTCTTCATCATCTGAATGAAAAGTAGCAAAAAGATCTAGATTCATTCTGAAGAATGCATAAATATCTAGACATATGTGTACGTATTTAGGTAGGTAGATGATGTGTTTGTATATGTAATACATACATGTAGTACGTACATTATACATGGAAACATCATCAAGATACTGATTCTACTGACAATAGTAGTAACTAACATAGCGACACAATGCAGATATGTATATGTCAGATAAAAGGAAAAATGGGAAAAACAACTTTTCTTTTCAAGATATAATTTGCTCTCAACAGACAGCAACTTTAACAGATTTAGCTTTTGTGCATTTCTTTAACACCCACCTTGTAGCCTGAGGTGTCAGGTGTGCCCTCAGCAGCTACTGCAAATGATCCATTTATTAACAGTCCGTCAGAAATTACATAGAGGGTGTAGAATACACAGGTTTGATTATATCCACATAGTGATAAACCCTGGGCCTTTAACTTGGACAAGCTTTTTTGACTTTGCTTAAATCTTTGCTCTTAGAAACACAACTCTTTCCTTTCTGTAGCTTTTTAAAGGCTTATCCTTTTCCTTTGTTCTTCAATGAAATGTACTGTGAAGAAATTACACAGGCATAACATAGTCCAAAGCATGTTGTATACAACATGTACACATTTCTCTTTTAAAAGTGCAAAACACCAACAAAAAAATCCCACATACGGTTGTTCCTTGCTTAAAAAAAAAAAACGGGAAGAGGCTTAAAAGAATACTGAATACTATTCAATTCTCAGGTGTCTATTTAGGTTGGACCAAAACAGATTAAATATTAGTTCTAGAATTACTACATACAAGCTCAGAGAAAAAGTTATTATTTCAATAACTACATTAGAATCTAATATTCATTTTAAATTAAACCAAATTAACTAGGTTTGTGCATTTCCGGCTGACAACTGCTATGGAAGATGCCTTCCATGCTAAGTAGAATGACATTCTCCAAAAAAAGAGTATAGTCACAATCTTTCTATTGCTCAGTTCTAGCAAGGTAAGATTGGTTTAATCAGAATTTAGGAGAAAACAAACAAAGAAAAAAAAAAAAAGAGAGAAAGAAGTCTTATTCTCAAACTTAAAATCCTTTATACCCAGTCATACAGAAACTGCAGAGGAAAAATGATTGCCAAGAAAATATCAGAACCTAGTATATGTATTTGAATATTACACATAAGTTATTAACTCAATAGCCTATGAGCATGACCCCCACCCCCTTGTCAAGTCCAAACTTAAAGTCCAGAGAACAATACAAAACATTAGCCCTAGTACCACCTGCACTAAGGCCCCACTCACCTGTGAAATGACTGTTTGCTGAAGCTGGTGGCCCAGAAGGTGAGAGAGGTAGTCTACAACAGCAAGGTCTGCACAGTCACTCACACACCATTAGTGTCGAGCTCCTCTGTGCTGAGATACCCAAATTCGCCATGTAATGCCTTTCTGGCCTGTTCATGACAGGGTCAGGTGTGCTCGTTAGCAGCTACCATCAGGGACCGTTTAAGTTCAAGGGATTATCTGGAGCAAAACAAATTAAAAGAGTCCCTTTTTCCTGGATGGGTGGGAAGGAGAAAGTTGAAGGCCTTTGCTTACATGAAGCTTCACCATCCACCCAAAGCCCTTTGATTCTGCCAGGAGAGAACGTGGAGAGCAGCCATTTCTGTATGAAGTACTTGGGGGAAGCAGGGGAGGTTGGTGTGCCAAACCCTTAACTCCCCCACAGGCTCATACTGCAGCTTTTCCTCATTGGACAAGAACAGCTACTGGAGTCAAATCACACTTACTAACTTTAGGAGTTAATAAGCAACTTTAGTTCTCATTTTTTTTCCAATTCAGGTGCCAAATGGGACCTAGATCTCCATCCACTCCAGAAAAGCCCCTTCACTACCTCTGGTTCATGCTCCAACCCAGGCTGAGGCACACCAGAAGAAACATGGGATATGGCAAGACGGGGAGTGAAACGGAGGAGAGGGGAAAGCTAGAAGCAGGGAAAGGAAATTCCTGACCTGAAGAAGGACCAAACCTATGGGAGCTCACTGGGAAGGTAGATGAATGAGGGAGTGAGCCAGGGCCTTTCCCTGCCTCCCTCCCCCATGGCTACCCCATGGGGACTCACCTTTGCCTGCCCTCCCTCTGGCCTAAACCATGAACTTGAGTAACCCCCACTCACCTTCACTGGGCCATTGGGGCTTACCTGAAAGGCTGGCCCAAACCTCAGCCCTGTCAAACCCACCTCCTGCCTGTCCCACTCATCAAGCAAAAGTCATACAGCCATTACTGCTGCCACCCATCTAATCTCTCTGGAGGAATCCAGGCTGAGGAGACGGAGAAGGATGAAAGGGATAAGAAAAATCCAGGGAGCCCCAAAAAGCAGATGAAAAGGAGTTACTAGAAATACCTGGGACACCCTAGGGAAAGGAGCAGACAGGAGGTAGTACAAGAGAGTCTGAGAGAGGAGACTGGGAGGGAGGCAGGAAGGTCCCAAGGCTCTGCTGTATGCTCACCCAGATATCCACCCTGCTTCATACAATGCACCCTCACACAGATACTGCTCTTAGGTCAGTTATTCATATATTCCCCTGAATCCTACCATATTGTGTTGACTCATTGGTTTCCTCATATTAGAAAGAAACGGGTGGAAGAGGTGAGACGTCTAAAATGTGTTTCCTTCTACTTCTTCCCAGCTGCCTTTGAAGCCAGGCATAAAATGATTTAGTCATTTTGAAGGAAAACAAATAAAAATGGTTTCCTAGCAACAGGAGTCACATAGGTCTCTGAGGAATCTATCCTCAGTGTTTTCAAGGCTTTGCCTATTTACTAATATTGGAATAAAAGTACTCAAATCATATTAGTGTGATTTTTTAAACAAGGATAAGCCTATACTGCTCTTCAGCAATGTAAGCATGGCAAAGCATAGTGTTAAAAGAACTCATGTTCCTGCAAAAAAAAAAGCAAGGAATTTCAGTTCTTAAAAGCATAAACGTAGCATACTCCCAGCATATACAAATAGTTTTCATTTCATTGAGTCATACAATATATCACACCCCACCTGCAAACCTATCAATCTCTATTTCAAAACATAAACCTAGCAGTACCCAGAATTGCAGAAGAGTTAATTTTTCTATTACAGACACTGAATTTTGGAGGTATCAATCCAGACATACCATTAGAGTTATTTGGCAAAAAAAAAAAATCAAGGGCCTTTATACTTGGGTTGTCTGATGGCTGACAGTGCATCATTAAGTGGGAGACAGACAATGAATTAAATACCAACATATAACCTATCTGAGGTGCTTTAGGGCCTTCTGAATACAGCAGCTGTAAACACATCAGCGTGATACACAATTCTTACTTTTGCAAAATAGTACTGTCTTGAGGAATTAACTGTAAGGAGATGACACCCAAAATTAAGTGTTCAGTAATATTAAAATAAGATGAAGAGAACATGTACATTTATATTAATCAACATCATGGAAAGAGACATGCTCCTAGGCCTCTGTCTATTAAAACCTGCAAAGAACATTTCTGAAACAGCTATGGCTGTACTTTGTGCACACCCTACTGAAAAGCCTGTCAGTTGTAGGAACAGATTAACAAACTATAGCATCCACTAATTTGCTCCAGTGTGCAAATACCTGTAATTTTTTTCATTTGAACTAATTTACTTGTTGAGAATAACTGTATTATTTTTGGAAAAGTGGTTTCTTTCATTCTTATTTAACTCTTAGAATTATAATTAGTGTCTGCAAAAGGGTCAAGAATAGTAATGAAAAATAACACACACAAAGAAATAACTACTTATACATCTGCCAAAGACCAACTTTGTTTCCTCCAAGTTTCAGTATTTAACATCACAGAATCAGAATCACAGAATATGCCAAGTTGGAAGGGACTTAGAAGGATCATTGAGTCCAACTCCTGGCCCCGCACAGGACCCTCCCCAAGAGTTACACCAGGTGCCTGAGAGTATCATCCAGATGCTTCTTGAACTCTGTCAGGCTTGGTGCTGTGATCACTTCCCTGGGGAGTCTGTTCAGCGCCCAACCACCCTCTGAGAGAAGAATCTTTTTCTAATACCTAACCTAAACCTCCCCTGACACAACTTCAGGCCATTTCCTCAGGTCCTGCCAGTGATCACCACAGAGAAGAAATCAGTGTCTGCCCCTCCTCTTCCCCTCATAAGGAAGTTGTAAACTACAATGAGGTCTCTCCTCAGTCTCCTCCAGGCTGAACAGACCAAGTGACCTCAGCTGCTCCTCATACGGCTTCTCCTCAAGGCCCTTCACCATCTTCATTGCCCTCCTTTGGACACTCCCTAACACCTTAATGTCTTTCTTATACTGCGGTGCCCAAAACTGCCACAATATTCAAAGTGAGGCTGCCCCAGTGCAGAGCAGAGCGGGACAATCCCCTCCCTCTATCAGATGGTGATGCTTTGCCTGATGCCTACCAGAACACGGTTGTCCCTCCTGGTTGCCAGGGCACTGCTGACTCATATTCAACTTGCCATCGACCAGAACCACCAGGTCCCTTTCCTTGGCACTGCTTTCCAGCACCTCATTTCCTAATTTGTCCGTACATCCAGGGTTGCTTGTCCCAGGTGCAGAATCCAGCACTTCCCCGTGTTGAACTTCCTGTGGTTGGTGATTGCCCAGTCCTCTAATTTGCTGAGGTCTCTCTGCAGAGCCTCCCTGCCTTCAAAGGAGTCAATCAATAGCTCCTCCCAGTTCTGCATCCAAATCATTTATGAAGATGTTGAAGAGCACAGGGCCCAAGACCCTGTGGAACCCCACTAGTGACAGATCACCAGTCTGTTACCCCATTCACTGTCACCCTCTGTGCTTAACTCATGAGCCAATTGCTCACCCACCACATGATGTGTTTATCCAGCTGTTTGCTGGACATTTTGTCCAGAAGGATCCTATGAGAGATAGTATTGAAAGCTTTACTGATATCCAAAAAATTAAATCAGCTCCCTTCCCTTGATCAACTAGGTGGGTTACCTTGTCTGTGTATCTGACTTTAGCGTAACATAATGGTTTCAGTTCTCTGCACATGTATAAGTTTTTTGTAATGCAGAATTGTGTCACATTACCCATATCACTTTTGCTTTTACTAAAAAATCCAAGTAATAAAAGTTATTACAGTATTTTTAATCCTTAAAAGAGTCGCAATACTTCCTTTGAAAATTTCCTGTAGCAACAGACTCTGCAGAAACATTGTATATTGAATTTAAAATATTGGCTTATTAATAAGTGCAGTAGTCCAAACTATTTGTATTCTACAGCAGCAGAAAATCTGATGGAAATAGAATAATGTGACGTAATATATTCTTCTTGTATAAACAAATACACCAAAATGGCATGTTTCTGGTCTATGTGCATCCATTGAAAATATCCAGTGTTATTTGAATTTTATAAATCACATGAAACAGCTAACAAACAGTATATACTACTATTATTTATATTACTTATTAATAGTAGCAATGTCTGCAGCAGCAGCAGCGTCATGCAATTTAATAAAACAAAGATATCAAAGCACTGTCATTCAAGAAATAAAATGTTCCTTTATCATCCAGAACCATTTGACTGTAGTATGTGTTGAAATACTACAGTAGTCAGTTCTTTATATACATCTTGAAAATGTGGTGCTGCTAAAACATTTTGTCGTTGTAGTCAAAACTCCAATCGGTTATAAATTAGATATATCTTTCTATATTACAGCAGAAGAGGCTACACAAAAAATGTTCCACTTCAGCATCAAAACAGCAAGAAAATAAAATCTTAGCAATCACAGAGGAAGAAACAGAGAACAGAAAATAAACAAAGCACACAAAGGTATAAGTCCATGGTGAAATTGCATGTTGAGTGTGAAGGTTTTGTTCCCCATTACAAGATAAGATGTTACTAGGCTCACATAGAATCACATAACAGAATGGTTAGGCTTGGAAGGGACCTCTGGAGATCATCTAGTCCAACCATAAACCTAACCCTGTCAAGTCCACCAGTAAACCATATACCTAAGCACTACATCTACAGATCTTTTACCTCCAGGGATGGTGACTCCAACACCTCCCTAGACACCCTATTCCAGTGTTTGAGTACCCTTTCAGGGAAGGAACTTTTCTTAAGATCCATTCTAAAAATAGGCAAGAAGATAATGAAAAGTATAAAATGATTTTCATACAAAGAGCAAGTAAGATTCATCTTCCAAAATTTATCACTTTAAGAAGTCTGTAATGAAATTAAAGGCTGTGTACTTAACATATTGTAAAGGCAAACTCATACCTCATGTTAAAACTGGCTGTTGTAGAAATATCTTTCACGGTTCCTACCATTCATAACAGCTTGAAGACTGGAAGGCTCCCCATGGTACTCAGGTGAAATCCATCTAGCAGGAGG